GTGTGTCACAGAGCTGCTGTTGCTGTTTATTTTCACTCTCATTAGTGACTTCTTTCGCGGAAATCCTGCCTCGGTACCGGGTGCAGGTTTGAGGGAAGGAAACGTGTCAAGACATGGTTTATTTCCCTTTCTGCCATATCTTTCCCTTGAATCCCTTCACAAGCTTCTAGAGATGGTGGAAGTTTAGTGAAAGGACTCATAATTGCTATTTATCTTTGAAGGTTTGTGTCAACAGTAAGGCTTGTTGCAGCTTCTGCTCAACTTGCTTGATAAAGGTTCAAAGGGATGATTATTCAAACTGGACTGGTGCATGGTCACGCACACCTGGGCAGGTTGGGGTTCTGACAAGCTCTCAGATGACAGCACTTACCTAAAACACTTCCCTCTGAGTCCTGTCTCTATGGTGAGTACATAAAACACCATGGAAACATTGACATTGGGTAAGCAGACCTGTTGTCAGAAGGTGTTAGGGCTCCTACTAATCTCTCTTAGGGGGGAAAAAAATTCCTCCCAGCGTACAAACTTGGCCACTCCGTTAGTTACTCAGCTGCTTGGCAGCTCCTTGTTGGAAATACTGGGAACAGAATACGGACCCTAATAGAGTCGAGGAAAATTTGGCAGGTACTTCAGTGAGCCCTTGATTTCGCCATAGGAAGAGTGTGGTTCAGAAAAAAAAGAAGCTCTGAGACATGCCAGGGGTGCTCTTGTCATCAGTGGGACAGAGGGTTATTTCAGTGTTTTTATTGATGGCAAGTAGAGTGCTTTTTGGCAAAGAGGCTGAAAGCGTGAATTTACCTTTAATGTAGTTTTTTTGGCCTGATTTCTGGTAGTTCTGTCCTTTTCACTAGCTCTGAGGAGAGAATATGCAGCTCTTCTGGTTGTAGAAGAGCTGTTGGGGACTGAATGACGGTGGAACGGCCGTCATCTTTTGGAAATCATTTTCTGATTTTGCACTTGGAATGTTAAGGAAAAATAATTGTTGCGTGCTTGCAGTGGGACCTTCAGAAAAGTTCCCATCTGAAGCACTGCACTGCTCCCTAAACACTCCTAAAGTGCCGTCAGTTTTCATGAAATGTCTTACCCTGTCTGTGGGGATTGGCTTGGCATTGGCTCCTGCTTTCCGTGTTCCCTCGCCCTGCACCTCTCAACACTTCAGTTGTTGTGTGATTATGGCATCACTGTCCCTCCATTCTCCCCCCCCCCACACACACACCTGTTTTTGAAAAAAAGTTCTGTACTTAAAAAATAATGAGGTATAAAATTGTCATCTGGATGAAAGAAAGGGAGCTTTGTGGATATTTTTAACATGGCTAATGGCATTTCAGGGCCCTGAGGAAAAACAACGTGGTTTCCAGTCTTCGGCGGTGTCGGATGTGGCAGCGACTGACGTTCCTCTCAGTTCTGTAGGGAGGTACCAAGAAGGGGATTTTTTTTTTTCCCCAAGCTGTTACTTAACTGATATTAGCATTTGAAGGCACATAAGGCCTGACCTTTAATCCTGTGTGTAGACTGGCTGATCTGCTTACTTGAATGCCTCATTGTAATGCTGCAGAATGGAGGGGATTGCATCAGACCCGCCAGAAAACTTCTGCCACCAGAACTTGCCTGTTGAGGTGTGGGGCTGCCTGAGCCCATCCCAGTAACATCTGCAAACTCAGAGCTTTCAGATGCACTTCCCTGATTTCTCCTCCAGCTCCTGTCCTCGACTGCATTCATCGGTGAGTGATCACTCATCTCCAGAGGCTCAAGCCTTGCGGTATGAGCTGATAGAGAGTAGCCCCACAGTGAGGAAGGACAGCCCTGACTCTTGGTCTTTCCCAAAAGCTGGAGTGCTCCCAGTTACACGTGGAGCTTTTTGCTGCTCGCTTCCATCGCGATTCAAACGGTGGTGGTGAATTGGTTTTGTGAGACCTTAGTGGAAGAGGTCGGTGGGTTTTATTTTACATTCACGTGAAAAGCCGGAGCCAAGAATGTAAAGTGAAAACTGAAGATGAAGAGTCCCAGAAAGCAGAACAGGGTTTGTGAGGCGACCAAGTGTAAATGTGATACCGTGCAAAGTCCCAGAGAGTCTGCTGTCTAAACTGGTAACATGCTTCAGAATAAATTTTGAAGTCACAGCTGTTGCAAGAGGCTCCAAAGATATCAAACCATGCAGGAGAGTGAGCTGAGAAATAATTTAAAGAGGTAGGACCGACCCACCAAAGCTCTGCTGCCGTCTTTGTTGCAGTGAGTTTTCTTGGAACACGCATTCAGCATCCGTGTGGTTTGCAATGTGTGCTTGCAGCACCAGCCTTGGGCAGAGGGCTGAAGTTACAGGACCTGATAAATCAGAAAACCAGCTTGTGGCTGCTCTTTGCTGAAGAGAGCACGTGGTCAGGCTTGCAAAGTGGTGGGGCTGTGTCCCTACGTGTTCAAAAGGATACTGATACCAACACAAAATGTTAATGCTGTGGAGTTCTCTGTGGTGATTGACAGCTCCAGACACTGGGATGGCATGTCAGTCTGCCAGCAGCCTGTGGAAAGCTGCTCTGACGTAGCCAACCCACTTGGCAACAGAGCCGTGGCTGGCCCGCGGTGCCTGATGACTCAGTTCAGTCCTGGAGTTGTTATTGCAGTGGAAGAAGTCGTTCTGTTCTTTAATTCCTTTGTGCAGCCCATGGATCAGTTGGATGGTATCCTGCCAAGGCCTCTAGTTAGTAGAAATTAAACACAAAAATCTTTTGGGGCTGGGCACGTCGTGACTGTAGATTCTGCGTTGGAGCTGATGGTCCAGGAGGGTTGGTTGGTTTTTTTTTTTTGCCATAAAAAAGTCTACCAGCAGCTCAAAACAGAGTTTACTTGGTTATTGCTCAGCGTAGCAGCTGGAGGCACTCTCACTGCCAGCCCACCCACACGAGCAGGACAGGGCACGCAAGCCTTCAGCTTTTTTTCCCCGTGGTGATTTATCATGTGCTTTCAGTACCCAGGGGATGAGATCCCCAGAGCTCTTGTGTTCCCATTTCTGTTGCACACTCGTGCCAGGAGCCCATGGCTTCGTCCTTCGCCCTGATCTTGCCTCTACCAGCCCCTTGCTCGTCCATTTGTTGTGCTCAGGCAGGGCTCTTTGGGAAACCAAGGTCTAAGCAGTGGTTTTATTTTGCATCCGGTTTGGTTTTTGGTTCGACACCGTGGTAAATGTGAGATGCAGTTGTGCCAAAAATCTCCCTGGAGGGTTCGTGTCTGTAAGATGGACAAGTACATAACTTGTGGGAGAGAGAGTCTGTGTTGCTCCAGGAATTTGCACAAATGCACTTTTGCTTCATAGAGGTTGTGGTGGTTTCCCTTAGTCATGTTTACACCTAAATAGAGTTTTGGGCAATTTGGAGAGACACAACGTTGCTCATCACAACTGCAAAGCAGGCTGTGTTGGACAGGTAACAGTGTGGAGCCTGATTCTGCACCTCAGCTTCTTCCCTGAATTACTGCACCTGAAATAAAAGGAGCAAAGGTGCAGGTTTTTATTACTCAGAGCAATAGGAGCCATGCAGCCCTCTTCTTTCTCTTGCCTAAAGGTATCAAGTTGCCTGTTTCAAGCATTTTCCTGAATGATCACAAAAATCCTAATGCAACAACAGGTTGAACTGAAAAGCCATATTCCAAGGTAATTCCCTGGCTCTGGAAGCTGATACATTCCATTCAATGTGGAGGCAAAACCGTGGGAGAAGAGCACAAAGGATGTTGCATCTCTTACTAATGGTGAGATGGGATTTGGCACACGCAGGGGCTGCAAGGAGTGGAGCGAATTGGAGAGGTTCCTTGCTCCGGGTTTAGTGCTGGCATTTGGGCCGGCTCTCCCTGGAAGATGCCGGGTGTTTGAGGATTCGCTGGCCTCTAGTGGTGACGCTGGGGAGAGGATACGAGAGGCAGCACGTTTAGCGCTGTGCACGTTGGCAGTTGAGCTAATAGGAAGATCACGTTGCAAAAAGTTTTGGGTTTGAACACTCAGTTTGCTCCTGAAATGGTTAAAGGAGGTCCTGGACTCCTGTTCAGGAAGCCCCTGGATTTTTACGGTGGTTTAGACCCCTTAGAGGTATTCCAGGGACTTCAGGAATCCACAGAGAGAATGGCTGATTTTTAGATCAGTGCAAGCAACATTGTGTAGAACTAGAGGGCAAGATAAAAATGAAACCTAATCTTACACAGCAGCCAGAACTTAAACTCAGAGCTTTAGAAAGAGATAAATCATAGAATTATAGAAAGGCTTTGGTTGGAAGGGGCCTTAAAGTTCACCTCATTCCAACCCCTCTGCCACGGACAGGGACACCTTCCACTAGACCAGGGTGTTCCAGCCTGGCGTTGGACACTTCCAGGGATGGGGCAGCCACAGGTTCTCTTGGGTTTTTGGGTTTGTCTGTGTTTGGTTGGTTTGGGTTATTTGTTTTAGTTTTTGTCACTGTAGTGGTTGTGGCTAAATAAAAATGCACAGTTTAATTGACTACATTCCCCACCAAAAGATGCTGGCAAGCCCTTCTCAATTAAATGCCCATCCCCTTGAATTTTTCCTTCCATTGTTCAAGCCTGCCTTCCTTGATCCCCATCTTCCTTCCTATATCTCTCTATCCTTAGACTCAAATAATCCACTGTATTAAGATTTAGAGTACATGCAAGGCTGTACCCCTTTGAATGACAGTTCTGAGAAGGGAATAGAGAGAAGATTAAGTTTTCATAGGCACTCCTGGTCTTTTGTTTTCATTATATTTCAGCCTTTGACAAAGACATTTATATTCATCTCAGGGATTGCCATTTTTGTAAGTCATGCTGTAGATAAATAAGTATTCATAGTGCACCTTAGGTAATGTTCCACATGGGTGCCTCCCAGGATTCCCATTTTGTCTCTTTAAAATGCTGAAACAAGTGCAGAGTGCAGTTTTGGTTCCCATCTCGCTGCAGAACAGCAAGAGCAGAGAAGGTGATTAATGGCACGTGCTAACGACTCCGGCGTTGTGGTTTTCTGTTTGCAGATGTGAAAGGACCACCTACACACAGGCTGTCCTGTGGCCAGTCCCCCTACACTGACATGACAACATGGGAGAGGAAATACTGCATCCTGACGGACAGCCAGCTGGTGCTGCTCAACAGGGAGAAGGAGGTGAGAGGAGCTCACGTTGGCTTTTTTCAAGGGCAGCTTTTCTCATCTCCCCTTTATTTCATCCATGAAACTGTTGAAATGTTTGCAAGGGAGAAAAAGGGAATTGAGGAAGAAGTTTTTTACTGTGTGGGTGGTGAGGCCCTGGCACAGATTGCCCGGGGAGGTTGTGGATGCCCCAACCCTGGCAGTGTTCAAAGCCAGGTTGGATAAAGCCTTGAGCAACCTGGTGTGGTGGGAGGTGTCCCTGCCCACGGCACGGGGGTTGGGACTAGATCGTCTTTAAGCTCTACTCCAACTCCTTAACATCCTGTGATTCCATGAAAAGGAGAGCTAAGCTATGCTGTGTGTGGATGGTGTGGGGCACAGTTGCAATCCAGCTGGCCCAGATGCCGGTTGCGTGGAAGAGGTGTCAGCAAACTGTGCGCAAAGGCCCTCCTGGAGCTTTACAGCCTGTCTTTAAGTCTGCCATTACGTCTTCCTATGTTATTGCTGCTTTTAATGGTGGTGAAAGCCACCACAGCTATGTAAACCTGCCTCCTTACGTCAGTGCAGGCACTAAGGTAGGGAAAAGTGAAGGCTTTTTATGGACCCATAAATTTTAGTCTAATACCATAGTTTCTTGTATTTGGAGATGACCTGAATTTTTGTGGGTTTTTTTCTTGATTCTGTAGAAGCTTGAGACCTGTTTCGGGTATAGCACTAAATATTGCTCAGCTGTGCTCAGGTTTATTTACAATTTATTTTACAATGAAGTATTGCCTTTCATAAGGAGAGTAGGAGGAAATGGTTTAGAGGAGGACTTGATTTATTGGAAGGGGACAACATCAGTGCTAATGCGTGGGAGAGGTGATCAAACGAAGGGAAAATGGAAGGCCCATTTAATGATATTTGCTTACCGTGTAATTCTTTTTCTGGTCTGACAGGGCTGTCACCTAAGGAATTAAAGTATATACTGAGGAAACTTAAGGGGATGTGAGAATCATTCCTAAAACTGTGCTGTACCGGCACAACTGGACCGAAAGGGTGCATCTCATTGAAGAAATGTAATTGAGAAAAACACTGGCTCAACGTCACAAATAATTGACTGGAGGTGGTAATCATGCTCTTAGGGGTTCTTAATTTCTCCTGCCACAGACAGTTGAAAGCATTTTGCTGCGAGTAAGATGAGTCTTTTGCTTAGATCCTGAGGAATAAATGTGGGAAGTCTGATACAGGACTGGTGTGTTGAGGCATTATATATTATGTTTAAATACCACTCTGCTTTTTGTCAGAAGCTGAGGAAATTCAATATCAGGCTACAGAGAGCCTGAGGTTTAAGTGTAGCAGTAACCCCAAGAAGTCAAGCAGCAGTGAAAATCTCTGCCGTGTGCTCTCAAGGGAGGCTTCCTGCACTGTGACAGTGAGAGAAATAGCTTGCTTTGGGAAATGCTGCATGCAGATGGGCCAAGCAGACATGCCTTTGGTGCAGGTGTGACTCCACATGCTGATAATGTGATTTGTTTCAGGAGCCTGTAGCTGGAGTCAGATTTGCCATTCTGATTTTCAAGTAATTTGTGACTGCTGTGAAGTGAAAGGAAAAAGGGAACTCCTTGCAGAGTCAGGTGTGCTCTGCAGGAAAATAAAGGGTTGGCTTAGTCTGGCTTGTGAGTCTGTACATAGGGCAGTGTACAGAAACACACAGTGTATACAGGTGCTAGTTGAGAGAGAGACACAGACCTGATACTCTGGATTTACACCTTCTTCTCGTTTTTCTGCAGTGGAAATACCCCTTTGCAGCTTTCATGAGGAAGGGGAGGGGAGGTAACACAATTAAATTTTTTCTTGGCAAGTCATTCAGAGTTGAAAGAGACTCCACAAAATGGGATCTAGAAGTGAGAGTGCACGAAGGCCTAAGGCAGCAGTGAGGGGAGATGCTTGTTAAAAGCATAATGATGGAAAAGTATGTAGGAGGGGAATCATGAAAAGCCCCTGGGTGGGACCACAGGTACAGGGAGTCTAAGGAACAGACCAGCTGAATGAGGAAGAGGGAGGTTACTTAAATAAGAAAACTAAAGATTGTTTTTAAAGAAAAATTATTGTAAAGGTGATGCTGGAGGAGGTGTTTCGTTAAAACAAGGTGATAGGCAAGAGGAGCTGGAGAGGTTCCTGCTCTGAACATGATAATTGCTGATAGACTGAGTAGGTCAGAAGTTCTTTGGACTGCTGAAGAGGATCTTGGAAACAGTATGAGGGGCAGAACACTGCCCATCACTCAGCTGGGAAGAAGGAGTTGATGTGACCAGCAGAGTGCCCTTGCAGCCCAGAGGGAGCCCTCACATCACTGCAAGGCTGGCATAGAGGTGAAAGTCTGAAGCATCTCACTGAGTTCTCTGTGCATCTGCTTTGTTACTTCATGGAATAAAAATCCAAGAAGCTTGGCCAGCGTGGAACTGGAAGGGAACAGAAGTGTTTGAAGTTTGTAGTGCTTTGTAAAATCTCTCTGCAAATATCTGTGTGTCCAGCTCAGAAAGTAGGAAAACAGATACAAAATGCAAACAGGTGAATGAAAGAGGTCTTAGTTGTTTCAGGTATAATGCTAAGTTTGGTTTCTTTCAGTTAATGCTGCTAAAATACAGCATTATAACTTGCACAGATTTTTAAGAGGAAACAATAAAGAACATTACAGAAATAAACAGTGTAATAAAGAAAACTCTTTTCTCATAGCATCCCACCGCTATGGATTTTTTGTCAAGGCAGTTTGAACGGAGTATGTTCAAGAGAGATTCTCTGCTGTTCAAGAACAAGAGTGGGCTGGAAATCAGAGACATTTTGAAGTACAACTTGATCCAAAAATATCTGTAATTACTTAGACCAAAATAGTCTGGCTGTATCACCTTGTGCAGCGTAGGAAAATATTAATTACTTGACACCTTGTCAGCTTTACAAAATGAGTGTAGGTGAGACTGAAGAATGAAAATTATTAGTGAAAGGAAGAGATCAATGCCCAAAAGTACAAAGAAAATGAATCCCAGTAGGAACATGAGACACAATTCAGCAAATAAGGAGTCCTGAGTGACAGGAGATCTGCAATTACTACAACATATCCTGGTGTGATAATATTTAACATCATCTTCCAAGACAAGGAGAACAGGTCTGAGGTTGATGTGTGTACAAGTCAGATATTTTTAACACAAGGAAGATTTCTCCCTGTCAGGAAGGTGTAGATGTTTTCATCTGCTCTCTGAAACCCGTTCCATAGGGAAGGAGCTGTGAGGGCACAGTAGAAGTGTCTGCAGAATCAGTGCTATTTAAACAGGGATTGGGGATGAATTAGTGTTCATGAAGAGTGGTTTCAGGTAGACAACACTGTGCACAGCACTTCCATGAGGGACGTGACAAATGGCTGCTTTTAGTCAGTCCCTGTCAGTAACTTGGCTGTGGGCCTGCAGGGTGTTTTAGTCGTGTGTTCGGGTGGAAATGAAGATGAAAAGTGCTTTTCACTGTGTTAGACTCTTCCTTTTTTCCTCCCTGCACCCAAACCTCATGTTCCTTCTTGGATTTAGGGGTGGCTTTAATCAAGGGCAAAGACCTGCTCTCACTGTGACATGATCTGCTGGTGACAGGGGCCAGCAGCAGGACAACTGGGATGGATTTTCCTACTCTTCCATGTCCTGTGGCTGACACCAGTAGTGGTAGGCCAGCAGTGATCCCAAGGGAAAACAGCAAGAACAAACACGAACAAACACTGATGTGTGGGGCCCCAGGGGATGCTCTTCAGAAATGCCCACTGCCATTCTCAAAGGACTTGTCTCCTTGGGACCTCACAGCAAATACCTTTTACCTGTAAACAGGAGTTTGTCAAAGCTGAACCCAGTCATAAGAAAAGATTTGCTTCAATTCCCAAACAAATTCAGCTATTTATTTTCTGAAAGCCCAGAGAAGTGTTTGCTGTCCATCTTTTTAAAGTGGATTTCTATGTCAAAATTTTAGCCAGCTTTGGAGTTTCTGGAGGAAGGTAGAAATTAAAATGAATGATTTAACTGGTTTGCTGACGTGATTCCTAACTTCCTGACTATTAGTTCAGAAAAGCCTACAAGTTCTCAAGTTTTTGTCTTGAACCACTCTTTCAAATCTTGGAAAATGTTATCTGCAATGAAGAAACTTGTTTCCCTACTTTTTTTTAGAGAGACTATCTCAGTTTGCCTTTAAGAGGCATTAAATGCTTGTAAAGCTCTTACTCCTATTTCCTCTGAAATCTGCTTGTCATCAAACTACTAGAAATCCCCACTACAGGCTTTTTATACTTAAAAATGCATGTTCAGTGTCAGGTGAGCTGGGATGATGCTGTTCAAGGGCTGAACCCAACGTTGATAAGCTGTGGAATTTGTGAGGGAAACATAACCTGTGATGAAAATTGGTAAGGTTAGCTAAATGATCAGCATTTGGACTGTCCTTTTGTACCTTTTTGGCCCAGAGTTACACTGCTCAGAGTCCAGCCCTGAACCAGCAGCTTGAGCATGTCAGCTCAGGGTCGGACAATTCCCAGGCTGGTGAGCACAGAACAGGATAACAAAGCTGGATGGGTTAAAAAAAAAAAAAAACTCTGCTAAAAACCTGAATCACCATTCGAGTCCTGACTCTGCAAGAGTGTGTCCTTCCCTTCGATCATTTGCTGAACTTGCTGCACTGTCAGGGGCTAGAGGAGTGTTGGGAAGGTTGCAGATGGCTGGCTTGGTCTTTATGTGCTATTCATTTGTGCACTTCCTTGTGTTTTGGTGCCTCCCAATCCTTGAATCTGTTTGCCTGACTACAGGCAAACCTGCAGTTTAGACACCTGTTTAAAACATGTCCAGCCCCCAAAGATGCAGAGCTGCTGATCAAGCTCACTTTTTCACGTTCACAAAGCAGTGTGGTCTCACACTAAGTGATAAATACTGGTCCTGTAATCTTGGAGTTAGTTTTTTGTCAGCATAGACTGAGATTATGGTTTTGGAGGAGCTTAAAATAACAAAGCATTTTAAAGTCAGATTTCAGAGGCTCAATCCCTATCGTCCTGCTCCCCTGTGGCAGTAAATCAGCACATCCACAGTGTCCCTGTGGATATCATTGCTGGCATCAGGGTGGTTAGTAGTGCTCTTTTTTTGCGTCAGTGGATTAAAGGAATGTTCCTGTCAATCCATGTCTCAAAGCACACACAGGTACTGAAGAGGTGTGCTTGGAAAAAATAAAAAATAGGGATTATTCTTTTCTCGGTGGAAAAAAAAATCCAATAGCGGAGGAATCCATCCCACAGGAGCTGTGTTGGCCTGGAGCAAGCAGTGAGGGGAGGGTGCAGCAAGTTCACTGAGAGAGGAGGATCACAGCACACCTGAAAAGCATCCAACAGGTACTGCTAATAACTGATGTGGAAATAGAGCTCGCAGCATCCCACCCAAAAATGCTCTGAAGGAAGCTGGGAAAGGCAGTGGACCAGAGGAGAGTTTAGAAGGGAATAAGACTAAATGGAGCCTCCAGATGAGAACTGAAAATCTAATATGTGAACTTGATTGAAGGAATGTGGCATAAACTAACAAAATTAGTCTCTGTTTAACTTCCTAATGTGCTTTTGCACAGAGATCGTGCAGCAAAGGAGCTGCTGTAAAAATCTACCAGCAAAGACAATAGTCTGAACAGAATAAGCACAGGGGCTTTGGGAAACTTGTTTTGGAAAATGCCAAATAGACCAGCTTAGTAATAAATAGCATTAAAAAGTGACCTTAAGAGAATGCTAAGTGCTTAGAAGTCAGGAAATTCCAGTATTAGTTTGTGAGAGCCATTGTAGTGCAGCCTGTTCCTAAAATAGTGCAGTATCTTGTGCATCTTTCGCAGCCTTCAATGCAAATGACTGATATCTTTTTGTTTGCTATTAATACTGTTTTTTTCAGAGATGGTGGAAGATATGAAAGGATAAGCAGCACAGGAAATGGGATGGGGGTTCCTATTCCTTTAGCTGCAAGCTGTCTGTGACGTATCTGGGTGAAAAGAAATAGCTGTAGTGCGTGTATTGCAGTTGTGCTGGTGAAGCCAAAGTCCTCATCAAAAATGTGCTGAGATGTTTTGGGCCTCCCTCCAGCCCCTGGATTCTGCATCTCCCTCATCCCTGAGGTTTCTTCCAGCTGTTGAATATATGAGTTTAGGGTGGCCCTACCAGCCTCTAGGTTCCAGATATGGTAACAAACACCAGACTATTGAGCTTTAGGGATAAACAGTTTATCTCCAAACAATGTTGTGGTGACAAATACAGATGAGGAGCACAATTACCTGGGTGGTTACAGCAGTAACTCAGTGGCACAACTGTCCAAGTTAAAACAATTGCAAATCCAGTAAATCACCAATACTGAGCTAATGTATTATCTGACCTTGCAAAGACCTGCAAAACCATGACCTCAAGGATCTTGGTAGAACAAAGTTCTTCCCCCGCAAGGGTGGTGGGGCACTGAACAGGCTCCCCAGGGCAGTGGGCACGGCCCCAAGGCTGACAGAGCTCCAGGAGTGTTTGGATGATCCTCTCAGGCACATGGTGTGACTTTTGGGGATGGTCCTGTGCAGGGCTGAGGGTTGGACTTGGTGATCCTTGTGGGTCCCTTCCAACTGGGGTTATTCTGTGCTTGTGATTTGGAGGAGGCCTTTGCAGCCGGGGTTCTCTGTGCTGCACCGCTGACCAGCAGGCAGCTGTCGGAAGTTTTGTTGTTCCCAAGTTTGGGACGTAGCCATCTGCCTCTGCCTGACTTTCCCAGTGTGGAAGCAGGCAAGGCAGTGGGAAAGCAGCCTTGAAAGGCAGGACTGCCTTTAGTTGGACAGGTGGACTGTGTTGTGATGGATACCTGCGGAGTACAGGGGGGCTGTACACCATGGTCTCCTCATCACCGCCATGCTTTCCTGGGGAGCCTCTGGAATTCTGTGGTGAGGCCAGAAACGCCAAACTGTGCCTGAGAGTTGCTACCAGATGAGCAGAAAATGAAGTTCCTTATGAAGAGGGTGCATTAACATCGTGGCCCCGTGGCACACTGACAGCTGTTGGCATCTTTTTCCCGCAGGTGCCCACGGAAGGGATGCCGGAGCCGCAGGATCCTTCCCGCGGGCGCTGCCTGCGCCGGACAGTCAGCGTCCCCTCCGAGGGCCAGTTCCCCGAGTACCCGGCAGAGGGGGCCACCCAGCTAGGTAAGGAGAAACCAGACGTGGAATTAGTTGATAGCTGGAAGTTGTATCTGAGGGCACGTCTGGCCGGGCAGCACCCCGGCAAAGCAGCCTGGGGAGGTGGGTACCACAGCAGGAGGGGAAGGTCCTGCAACCCAGGCTTTGTTTGTAAATACCTCCAGCAAAATGACCTCCAAACACCAGGATGTATCCAACCACCAGTGAGACTGTTATGGGATACCTGAGAAGTGTGGCTGTTCTTGCACTCCGGAGACTTTGTAGCTGTGTTTTTAAACTTGCCGGGCAGCCCTAGGGCTTGCAAGGGAGAGCTGCTGGATGCAGGTCAGCGCAGTGCAGATTTTGCAGATGGCTGTAAGTGGTTCCTGCTGGCTTAGAACTGTTAGGTGGTTATGTTTTACCTCACCTCTGGAATTTCCTTCGCTACATGTTTTCACAACAGGCACCGAATAACAGGTTTTTCTCTAACTTACCTCATGCCTGTTCAGGGTGCAGTTCCTAAAAGAACCAACCATCTGCCTGCTGCTGGCTATAATTATCCATGTTGAAATTTAGGGAAAGCAAAAGAAAGGGCAGGTATTAAAAATTACAGAAAAAGGCTTTGCTGCAGTGGTTTCCCAGGTCCAGGTTTGGCCCAGTTCCCCCACTTTATTCCACCACACCTGTGGTTGCATAAAGAGCATCATTCCAGCTCTTTCCAGAAAAAGGGAAGAGGCAGCAACCACACACAAGTGAGCTCTTCTTTTTCTTCCCAACCTGTGCAAAAGCTTTCCTTGGTGTTGGCTGGTGAGAACTAGGAGCAGTTTTTCCTTAGTTCAGCCGTGAAAAATGTCATTCCTGGGAGACTCTGAGCCGTGAGGAAAAAACATGCATCTCTAAACATAAATCAGCCTTGATAGCTGCTATCAAAGGTGAAGAGGAGGTAAGGTATTTTGCATTTCACAGCCTCAGCTGGATTTTTTCCTCAAGAATTTTATTCTGTGAATATATTGCACACGAGTAAGTAAAATCTCACTCTTGTAGATGGTTAATTAACACATTGCAACCATAGTACTTATTTATTTGCACTTGCCAATAGCACTGTGTAACTCTTACTTATTTGAGAAAGGCACATGGCGGTGTTTTGGTTTTTTTTGATTTCTTCGGTTCCTGGATGGGTGGTCTGAAAAGAAACAGGGCAAGCTGGGGATTTTAGGAGGCAAAACTGCAAAATACTTGGGGATTAGTGATATAAATAGATTCTGACTGGATTTGTTTGTGACATTTCAAATGCACCTCTAAATGCCATATGAACAAATATCCATTCTTGCTTGGAACTAAAATCAGTATTAAAGATGTTTACACAGTGTTGTAGGCACAGTACTTACTCCAGGAGTGTGGCTACTGAGGTGAATGAAGAATTGTATTGCAAACAGCCTGCTCTAGGCAATGAATTTTATTTGCAGCTCCACAGGCTAGAAAGACCTTTAAAGTCTAAGATTTCAATGCCTTCTACTTGTGTACCTTGTACAAAAAAACATGTAGAAGAATGTCTAGGCTTCACCAAGCACCTCAATAGCTGGAAATCCCAATGTTGTGTTTTTAAATGGAACCTTGCAACATTCTTTGTCTTGGATGGCCAGAGAGGATGGGTGACTCTGCTATGTGGTATCTGCCTCACTATGTATTTTGCCACAGTTTTAAATGCAGGTGGCATCTTGCAGCGTGTTATTTGATGCGTGCCTGGCAAGAACATATTAAAAGTACGGGGGTACGTGGTATTCTCCATGTGAGAGCTGCATCTGCAGCGAATTACAGATGTCACAGAGTGTGTGTAGCCAAAGCAATGCCTACCCTGTGAGGATGGATGAGGGCGAGTGGGAGGGAAGGTTATATATAATCCCTGATTGCAGCACCCTGGGTACTTCCCTTGTGTTCATATCTTGGTTAAAAACGTCTCTTGTCACGATTACAGAGTTCCTGCTAATGGAGAAAAGTGGGTTGATAGCAAGCAGTGGGAATAGCTTTGTGTGTCAAGATACTGAGCCAGAGGACACATTAGTGAAGGGAACCATTGAACATCTTTATGCAGGGAAAGAAACAGATGGTGGCAGCCAGAACATATCACAAGCAGTGCAGATAACAACTGCACTAAAATAGCTTTGGAATGGACACCCAAAGCTGAAAGGCACAGCAGAGGCAGCTACAATATCTAGTAGAGAAATTGCTATGCAGGGCTGATAAGAATATTGAGCTCGTCCTAGGGAGGCATGTGGATAACATGGCAACTGCAGGTGTTACATCTTAGGATGATACCTGAAATTACTCCTTGCAGGAGAGCTCCTTAGGAATGGCTCTAGTGCTGAGGTAAAGGCATAGCAATGGCATTTGCTTTTTCCCCTGTGTAAGGTTGCCATATCTCCCTTGTGATTAATAGATACATTTATTAAAATAAATAGAAGGGGGTGGGGGAATCAGGCAGTGGGGCTCTTTTTCATCTGTAGCAATAAACTTGTATGAGAATCTTTTTGTTAATGGAGCAACTGGAACAGCACATGTTCTTCAAGGGCTCTGCATAATCAGCAGCAGAACCCATTCTGCAAATTTCTATGGCATTCTTTATGGCATTATGCACACATCCTTGTAGCCCCGTCCCTAGGAAGTGTGTGGGAAAGGAACTGCCCACGTTGCAGCTGAGAAGTAGAAGGAAAAGATGTGTAACCCTCCAAAGGTCAGCATTAAGTCAGGGGTGCCTCCCCCCAGGGCTGCCATGGCCCTTCCTGCCTCTCTCCTCTTTCCCCCTGGTTGCAGGGCTGGCTCAGCTGTCGGGGCGGCAGCTGCTGAACCACCACGGTTTGCAGTCCCCTGTACTGAGATAGGCACCAATTTCCACATACTTCAGTACAGCAAGCTGTAATTTGTGATGGTTCAGCAGCTGCCAGAAGAGCAGCTGAGCCATCCCTTCTGTGCAGGCAGGAACCGCTGTGGTCACCCTGGGATGGGAGCCGGAGGGGCGGACACGGAGATAAAACACGGGACAGAGAGGGACTTGTTTAAACACTGAAAACTAATAAGATCATTTCAAAACTAACTCCAGAGGCACTCAGCACCTACTGCTGGCTTAGGAGCTTTCCCTCTGCTTGCAGGAACTGGAGAGGTTGTTGCTAATGCTGGAATTCTTAATTCCTGTCTGGAAGGTGCACTGTACGCTGAGTTGTGTCAGCAAGCCATCCGTTAAATACATGCCATGAAATTTCCTTGGTGCCTAATCCCTATGATTGTAGTAATACCTCTGTGAGTGAACAGGCACACTCTAAATATGTCATTTACTTGCTAGGATTTCATCTTGGCAGCACTTACTGAGAGGAGCTTCCAAGCTAAAAATGTAGCTGTAATTTCTCCCTAACTCCAGCTTGACAGTCTCCATCCTTCTTCTTTCAAGTGTTATTTTCAATGGGCCAATTCTCTTATGAAGTGGGATCCAGGCCTGGAGACCAGCACAGAAATGTCACAAGAAGAAGAACTCAAGCTGGTCCATCTCTGTTTGCCTCCATTTCTGCTTCAGATCCTGCTCTTTTTCTAACAGGTGTATTTTTTCCTGTTAGGGAGATTACATCCTTTAAAAGGATCATTGTTTGTAATAACATATTGGAATTAACCATTCACACAGTAAAAGCATGATTCAGATTTCCACCATTCATACTGTTAGACAGGCTAGTAACAGTTATCACTTCCTTTCCCAAAATAATCCTCTTCTCTCTTACTCTGCTTCCTTCTCGCCACCTGCTCCCAGTAAATGAGAGTTGTTAAGGAGAATACAGAGCAGAAGTTTGGATTCTGGCATCTCTGTGGCATTAATAAGAGATTTTTTTTGCCTGCATGTGTGAAAATATGAGGAGGGATTGAAAGTGAGAAAGGCTTTAGTGTTTGGTCTTTGTTGGTGGTGGTTTTTTTAATTTTAAGCCATTAGGAAAGAGCATTATCAAGGAGAGAGTTTTTGAGATTGTCTGATTTTTAGAGAAGCTAGTGTTGATGCAAATAATTTTTCTTTTTGTATTTTGGATATGAAGTCACCCAAGAAGAAAATGAAGACTCTTCCACTTGTTGAAACAAGTTAACCCTGTTTTTTCTCAGCCTGAAAGTGAAGCTCTTGAGATTGCTGAAAGCAGGTCAGGGGTGAAGATGCTCCCTGCAAATTTTAGTTTTGTCCTCACCTTGAGTCACTAGCATGGAGGATGAAGCACTGATCTGTCTTGATGCCAGGCCCAAACTGCAGTGTGACCAGGTGAGCAGCTGGCTGGGCAGAAATCCTGCCTCCCTGGACTTCTGAAAGTCCAGAGGCTTGGAAATGGACTGAGCAACAGCAGATCAGTTCAGCAGCGTCTGGTTTCATTGCTGCCTCCTAAAACAGCTCCTGCAAGCCTCTGCTGAGCCCTCCTCCTGGGGAGGGTTGCTCCAAGAAAACACCCAGCCAGTTCTCTTCCTTCAGGTGAAAACTTGGCAGGAGAGAACAGACAGGAGCTGCAAAGATTTCGAGGGTGATTTCAGTAACTGCTGGTTTTGAGACAAAGTTGTTTACAACTGAAACTATCAAAGCTGAGCTTTGCTTTCTTTGTATTCCAGCTGGAATGAGTATTTGTGATGAAAGAATAAATAAATTTACTCCATGCTCACCACATAATTACGATCCTTGTGCGCTAAGTTTTAGGATTAATACCTGGAAAGGGTTACTTTTAGAGGAGGGGAGAGGGAGACAGTCTGTTTTAGGAAAAGAGAGATTATTTGTGATTTGGTCAATGGAAGAATCTACAATGCACTGATTTTTACATATTCAGTAAAGATTTACTTAGGAAATGTGCAGGAATTTGAAATGGAAATCCTGTAACTTCTAACAAAACTATGCTGACTAGAGCTCTGTCCTTCACCTTTCACCACCCAACTTTGCCTACCAAGAATAGCTGTTAGAAAGTAGGGATGAAAACATGTACTTTACAGCTCCCTGTATCTCAGCTGTAGAGATTTATGAC